CCCCAAAACCCCAAAACCCCAAAACCCCAAAACCCCAAGCTATTATTATAAATTTAGAACTTTTAAATACAATGAAGGTCAAGCACCTGAGCAGTGCTAGGTCAACTAAAAACTCCTATAAGCAAGGAGGACCTCTCCAGTCTCAACCAAAAGGAGACTACTCCAGTAAGAGCATCTACTCTAATGCACTCCTAGACCGACAGAGTAGTATCTTTGAAAGCAAGAGGAAATCTGTGAAGAGCACTCTTCTCAAGAAATCTGGAAAAACTCTTAAAGAAATATACGCCATCAACCAAAATGTCAAGCAGTGCATTGACAAGTAAGAACTTGACGATCAAATTCTAGGAAGAAGGGATGGAGCCGGAAGAAGTCAACCAGTCGGAGTTTTACCTCTAATAGTCTCAATTCAGGACGGTACAATAGAAAGACGATTTCAAACCAAAAGCTTAAGAAAATAAACGACAAAGTGCAGGCTGTGCTCTACCCAAACACCAGCGTATCGAAGGATAAGAACAACGATATCGTAGTGGGGCTTGACTTCAGGCATAGTTTCAGTCATGATTTTAATTACAAAGAGAGTCCTGATAAAAATAATTCTATACATAAAAGAATCATCAGTGCAGGCAATAAGCTCAATATGGTCGATTCAAATTTACTAAGAGAGCGTGGAAGGGAGATTAAGATAAAATAAAAAGAAGTTTCATATATCCTCAAAGCCTAATAGAGAAGGCGCCCGGAGTGAGGTGTCCATCTACACTCCTGACACCAAGACTCCTGCCACTACTTACATAGATATGAAGACCCAGACGGAGATGTGTCTGCTACCTCAACCAAAGATCCAATCAATAGTGATTGACTCTAGTGAGCCGACTATGAGGAAGTCCTGTAGATCACAGAACCCAGAGATGGTGAATTTTATCAAGCTCTTAAAGGACCTGATCAGGTCTGGGAACATCCATACTTCCGTCCTGACAGCTTTCAATGAGAGTTATGACCCTTCAATCTATGAGAAGCTCAGTAAGGAAAACGTAATCCTGAAGCAGAAGTACATGAATGCTGATAAAGAGCTGGGAGCTGTCAAGCAGCAGAAGGCAAAGCAAGAGAAATCTCTTAAAGAAATAGAAGCTAATTTTAAGTCCCAAAGAGAGAAATGGCAACAAGAGAAGGAGGATTTTAACCAAAAGATCAGCTCCTTACAGGAAGAGACTGAGAAGATGGCTAGAAGGAATCAAGAGATGCTTGAAGAAATAGAGTTCATGAAGCAGCGGGAGATTGAGCGGATTCAGCAGCTAGATCTTGACGACATCGACCTTATTAGTCACAGCAGTCAGATGCAGAAACATAAATATAATGAACATGTCAATCACAAGAACATCTCCAAACCTAATCCCCTTGTTCCCAAGCTAGACTTCACCAAAATCTTCGAACAACGTGAGAAGCCTAACCAAAAAGCCGCTTTAAAAGAAACCCTTTACGATGAAGACATCACTCTTTCGCACAAAAGTGACTATGTCACTCCTGCCCTGCAGGAAGGAGACTACCAGTCTCCTTCCTGAGTAGGGTCTCAGTATAAGGAGTATTTCTGGGAGGGATCTCCCAGAAATACAGATGATAGTGAGGAAGTACTGAGAAGAGAGGAGCTCAAGTTGAGGAAGGAGGAGATTATTAATCAGAGTTATTACAGTTCGGAAACGTAAGTTGCCTAGAATCCGTGCTAATTTTCACCATTGACTTTCTATTTCTTCCTAAAACCCTAAAAATAACTTGTTCATCTAGAGACCAAGAAAGAAGACTTGATGATGGTAAGTCACCAAGCTAAGTTCTAGAATCTGCAACTGAGGAATTCGGTTCCTTCGGAGGCATCATTGATGACAAGGATACTAGCAGGTAGGACAAAGCTTTTAGGTGACATTTTAGCGAGTTCATTAAGGACTGGATGATCAGGGAGAATATATCACAGGTCAACCACAATTCTTCTACGGTTGATTAAAATTTCAATACGTGTTAAAAATCTTGGGGTTTTGGGGTTTTGGGGTTTTGGGGTTTTGGGGTTTTGGGG